TCTACATTTCTTAAACTGAACTAGGCAAATGCTTGCCACTAATCATATTTTTATTTTAATAGCTTAATTAATAAAGGAACTCAAAAAATCATGATAGATTTTTTAGATATTTCGGTGTAAGGCTATACAGAGTCTAGCAGTGGTGCAAAGGTGTTAATTGTTGAAGTTGTCTTCTCATTTAAATTTTACCTGCTAAAAAGTCAATAATCGTTAGTCTTATTTGCTTAGAAGATTTCTTATTACTTGTCCAAAACACAAAGTGCCTATGTAGTTTGTCTGAAGTTTTCTTTTGTTGACTCCTTCTAGCCTTCAGAGTAGCTTAATTAATTGTCTTTGAAGAGAACATAATTGACTTGAATGTTCCAAAAGCTTCATAAGCCTTTCATAAGAGAATTTTAAGAAAAATTAGCAAGTAAGAGTATTGTTGAAAATGATCAAAGTATTGTTTTAAATCAAAAACTCATTATGGAGGAAAAGGGGAGCAGTTGTCTCCCCCATTCTCCTGCCTGTGCCCCCGGGATCTCAGGCCAGGAAGCTGCCGGCTCACATTCAGCCGGTGGCCGAGCAGGGTCCTGGGGCCCTGGCCAGGGAGCTGCTCCCCGGCCAGGCTGCCCACAGCCTGTGCTCTCGCAGTGGAGGGGGTTCGGTTTGTCATTTTTGAACTTTTTATGGGTCGTGTTGGTCCATTCCTCCAGCCTGTCTGGGCCCCTCTGGACGGCAGGCCCTCCCTCAAGCGTACTGAGGACATAGTTTGATGTCCTCTGCCAAGGTGACGAGCGTGCACTCCAGTGTTGCCTCCAGGACCGTTGCTAAAGGTGTTAAAAAGGACAGGTCCCAGTAGAGACTCCTGTAGTACTCAACTTGATCCTAACCTCAAGGCAGAGTACGTTTTTTAACTGCTACCCTCCAATACCCATCATCTAACCACTTTTTCACCCAGCTGGTTTTGCACCTGTCCAGACCATAAGATCTCAGCTATGCTACAAGAATATTTGGGAGACAGTGTTGCAGACCACGCTGAAGTCAAAGTAAATGGCATCTACTGTTCTCCCCTCGCCCAAAAATCCAGTCAGTCTATCACAGAGGACAATCAGGTTGGTCAGGCAAGACTTACCTTGGCCGAGCTGTGCTGACTGTGCCCAGGCACACGGAGGCATTGAGAACTGCTCTCTCTGCAGCCTGAAAACTTCCCCTGCGACACAAGCTGCACCTTTAGTCACAGTGTGTCTCCTGATGATAAAAACCTTTTTTTTTTTGGTCTTTCTATAAGAATTCAAAGCTCTTTTTGCATCAGAAATTTTCCCCTTACTTTCTGAATTAATTTTATCCTTACACATCACTCCAGCATACCCACCTACTTGTAATGCCTATGATGATTTTCAGTGTTTTCTAAGATTCCTTTCTTCTTTCTTAGAAAGATAGCTTGTCTGTGAAACTATCAAGATTGTCTCTGTATCCCTCTCATCATTTACAGTTGAGTGGAGTTTGCTTATTATGACTCACAAAATTCTTTTTATCAGGAGATCACAAAGTAGCTAGCAAGTTTGCCATTTCTACAGTGTGGAAAAATGTGTCAAAATTCATCTAGTTTTATATTTATCATCAGAGGTGGATCCACATTGCTCAATACAGTTTTTTCATCTTGAAGATCCACCTTGAAGCTTGTAGATGAATCTAAATTTTTAATCCTATCTTCCAAATAGATTAAGGAGAATTGGAGTTGTGGTCACATCCCTGAGTGTGTTACAGCCTCACAGTTGCATGCCTAAATTAAAACCCAGCTGATCCAAAGAAGTTCCAACCATGTTCTTATAAAAGCTACAGGTCCAAACATCTCTTTTCAGAGCCAACAGCTACAACTTCAGTTTTATGACAGTAGTTTGCTGAAAGATATCTAAGATGAACCACTTGAAAACCACCAAGCCATTAAATCAAAGACTAGTTGGATCTGTTCTCCCCACCTCTGGTCCACCAAGCTACTAGTACCCTGCAGATTGTCTGGACATGGGATGCACAGTGGAGGGAGTCCATTGTATTAACCAACCAGTAGCTGAGCATGTTCTTTATTTACTACCTGAACTCATTAACACTCATCCACTGAGTGCATGTGCGAAGGTGTTACAGAGCTGTTCTTCAGCTGATATAACCATAGGCAGCTTCTCTCAAGACCTCAGGGGATCTTTCGTATGATTTTTTTTATGGAGTCGACCTCTTCTTCGAGGTCCATAGCAAAAGGATGCACAGCAAAAGGAAATCAACACACATGAGATTTAGAAAGGGAAATTCTGGCTGTATATAAAGAGGGAAAGGGGATCATAATGAGAGTCATGCAGCACTGAAAGCTTTTCAGACAAGATGCAGAACCTCCATCCTTGGAAGTAATCAAAATTCAACTGAACAAGGCCCTGAGCAACCCGATCTTCGAAATTAGTCCTTGCTTTGATAAAGAGGGTGGACCAGACACCTCCAGAGGACACATCTAACCTAAATCATTCTATGATTCATTCCCTCTGTTTCTTTCAAATGTGAACTGTACTTTCCCTGAGGGCTGACCAGCCTGAAGGCAGCTTTGCAGAAATGGACCTAGGAGATCTGGTCAACAAGAAGTTAAATACGAACTAGCGATGTGCCTTTGCAGTAAAAGACATCCTGGGCTGCCTTAGGAAGAGTGCTGCCAGCGGGCTGAGGGGGGTGATCGTTCTCCTCTGTTCAGCGCTGTGAGGGGGTGCCTGGAGCACTGTGTCCAGTGAGGGAGTCCTGGAGAGACGTGGACATCCTGGAGTGAGTCCAGAAAAGGACTATGAAGACAGTTCATGGATTGGAGCACCTGACATACAAGAAGAAGCTGACAGAGCTGGGATTGTTCAGGCTGGAACAGAGAAGGCTCTGGGGGGGAACTTATCAATATATAGAAATACCTGAGTGGGGGGTAGTAAAGAAGGGGGAGAGAGACTTTTCTCAGAGATGCCCAGTGACAGGGCGGATGGCAATGGGCATGAACTGAAATCCAGGAAATTCTATTTAAACAGAAGAAAAGGCTTTTTTTTTACCATGACACTGGAGCAGGTTTCCAGGCATGTTGTGGAGCCTCCATCCTCAGAGACCGGACAATATTACAAACTTGACTGGACATGGCCCTGAGAGGCCTGCTCTAGGAGACACTGCTGTGTGTCGGTACATTGGGCTGGGCAGTCTCCAGAGCTCCCTTCCAGCCTCAGAGGTTATGTGATTCTGTATTACCCACGGAGTCTGGCTGTGGCTGCTTGGGATGCTGTTCATCCCCGGGATTGACTTTACTCAGGAGTCCTCTCACTCCTGACAGCTCCCACCTTCTCCCCTGCCACATGCTCAGAGCTCACGTGTCTCTGGAGCACCACCACAGCAGCCAAAGACAAGCATCAGCATTTGTGATCTAACTTACAGATGATGCTCACTGATCGTCCCATTAACATCAGAATTGCATCTGTCCCTAACTAGTGTGCTCCCAGAATGCTTCTAGCATCTGGAAAATAGTATCAGGCAGGCATGGCCAACATTCCCCATCATCTGTGCTCAGACAGGTGCTGAAGAAAGGTTCCATAGGAACACAGCAATCCTTGCCTCCTCCAGCCTGTCTTTGGTAGAAGGGCTTAGTCCTTGCACCACTTAGGTGCCTCCTGTAGTGTGCTGGACCTGTTGAAACCCTTGGGTTCTGAAGAGACAGAGTTGGCCCTGCAGTCCTACTTCCAGAGGAGGCTTAAAGCTGATACCGCAGTGAAATGGTTAAAACTAATGGGAAATAAACACACTTTAATATGTCAGGGAAGGGGCCTTACACAGGAAATGTATTCAGGCAGTCACATGGAAAAAAATGTATTTCAATTTAAATTGTGTAAAGAAATAATCCCTTTACACTAATGTTGCTTGGTAACAGGTTTTCGTTCTCTGAGTACTTGAGAATGACATGGATTTGAATGACTGGCCCCATTGTTGCGTGTGTGAAATGATGTGGTGGTTTCCGCCTAGATAACAGTTGACAGAAATGTGCATCATCGCAGGTAGCATTAATTGGCATCATCAGTGGGAGTCTCAGTGGGGACATAGGGGCATAAATAGGGTAGCAGAGAAGCTGGACATTTACCCTTCTCTGTTATTTCTTCCGATTGCCAGGGAACAATTTCCCAGTTGCTCACTGTACTGTGAGTGAATCACCATCCAGCATCTTTCATCATCATTAGACTCAAAAATTAACATTCATCGAGATTATATGTAGAACTACTCAAATAATCGGTGGTACAAGCCCCTTAGCGTGCAAAAGACTCCCTTGCGCTTCAAAAAAATTAGCAGCCCTCAGGCTTCAGTATATAATCCAAAGTGGTCTCATTCAGGCCTCTATTTTGACAGCTGTTCAGAAAGCCAGTGTTTGATAATTCATATCTGTCCAGGAAAACGTTGACCTCCTGAAAGACCAAAAAAGTGGAAATTTGAAAGAAAACACTTAGGGTTATTTATTGAAACCAAAAGGTTATTATTGTTTAAAATACAAAGAACTCTTTACACACTGGGGGAATTATGCTTGAGGATTTACCTTCACATATTTACATTTAAAAGGATCTTTCATTTCAGTGTGGTTTTTTACTTCTAAAAACTCTGATATGTTTACTGCTCTTTGTTCATAATGGTTAAGGGAAAATTAAAGGTTATTCTGAGAAAATCCAGAAAGTAATTTCTGTGCCTCTTACTTCATAAATTAGCTTTTTTACTGGCAAACAGATTTTCAAGCATATTTATAAAGCATCAGTGACATTCAGTGTTCAGTTAAAGTATTGTAAGTTAATTGCTTTTTACATGTCATGTGCAGTTCTTCACATTTATTTTCTTTTTTGCTTGCTTGGGACTTTTTGTTTTTTTTTTAAAAAAAAAAAAAAACCTGGTGATATAAGGTTTTGAAATGTTCTTTTACTATCTGACCACATATATATAGTGCTTCTAATGGGAATTTTCTGTTTGTTTCCTCCTAGGCTGTTGATATTCTTTTGCAGCATGGAGCTTATGTGAATGTTCAGGATGCAGTTTTTTTCACCCCGTTGCATATTGCTGCCTATTATGGCCATGAACAGGTAACTAAATGGGGGCGTTTCAGGAAGCTGAGAAGTGGAACACTGAGGCAACTATGGGTTTAATGTTAGATACTTTTGCTTTAGATTCCAGAGGGCCCTACCATGAAAAGGCCTCATATACTGAAGTTACACTTCTAAATCAACCTCTGGATGCTCTAAGTCTGAATATCAACAGGAAATTTCTACATTTTAATCCTCTGTGCTAGACCCCAGCAAAAACTGATGTCTTCCCCTCTAGACCTCTCGAAACAGAAGATTGTCTAGCTAGCTTTGAGAACCTATAAACAGACTTGGACCAAGAGGCATATTATAGTTCATTTGATGTTTATTCATCCCACCCTTCAGAGATTGCATAAGGAATGTGACTATGCTTTCTTAAACTTCTCCAAAGAAGTGAATATCACTTCCCAGACATAATTAAGTGTCAATTCTATTGGTTTTCCTTGGAATTCACAAACTAAATTGTGGCCACTTTAAAGTTAATGGAAAAAATTATAATTTAGAGAGCAGGATTTTGCATGAGGTGCTGTGCACATCACAGGGCCAACTGTGCTTGCTTCATTCGCACAGATCACGGACTTATTGAAACATAAGCTGAAGTTCTGAGCAAAGCTGGCATCGAACCTCCCAGTTCTCTTTCTTTTACTGAACTATAATTGACACGGTTAATCTAGCAGTTCAGTCATCTGCCCTGAATAGTTCTTTTATGTGAAATGTAATAATGGGTCTATTTTGGCTTCTGTGAGTCATTCGCTATACCTTTCTTTGGCTAAAAGCATGTATTTGGGGATATTTTCAAGTTTCAAAGGATGACCTCTATGCAGAGCGTATTTTTCATTCCAGTGACATGTTACTTCTAGTGCATTGAGGAGTTGTTGTAGCAAAAGCTTTTGAAAGAACAGAGTCCAGATGCACAGATGATTGAAAATGCTCTCCTGTGGCTGAGTCACAGCAAGGGTGTGAACCATGGATGTGTTCCCAAGGTGCTTCTTTTCACATATATGCACCTCATCATCCAGTAACATTAAGAAACTCCTTGCATGTTGGGATGAGAGATTAGTTTGCTTATTTGCCATAAGCCACTTCTGAACAAATAGTCACAGTCTTGTGAGATTGTGCTAAAATCTCCTATGGTGCTCTTGTGATAAGAGACACCGTTCAGAAAGGAAGCTCAGGCTCTGGCATTTGTGGAATTTGAAGGAATTTGCTTTGTTATACTGACTAGTCAGTTAAACACATACATGTGTCTTGTGTCTAGCTTTTTACCATACATAACATTTTAGAGAATGAATGAGTATTTACATATGAGAATTTTAATATTTTTACAGATGTGTAACTTAAAAATTAGTTTTCTATTGAATCTCCTCTCCCTGTTTTAACTTCAGAGAAGTGCCCACATACAGTATTACGCAATGCAATATTCTGTCTAATTTTGTCAAAAAATTTATTTTCATGTGATATTTTAATTAGCCTTAATGAAATATTTAGGTGACCCACCTCTTACTAAAGTTCGGAGCTGATGTGAATGCAAGTGGTGAAGTTGGAGACAGACCTCTCCATTTGGCTTCTGCCAAAGGCTTTCTCAACATAACAAAGCTCTTGATGGAAGAGGGAAGCAAAGCTGATGGTAAGAAAAGATATCTTAAAAAATCAACTTCAACATTGTATTTTATAGACAGAGTCGGGCCTTGAATCTTGAATTTAGCTTGAATTTATAAGAAAAACACACACTCTGTGTGTGTTTGTGTACCATCTTTGGGCAACTGAAACAAAAAAATAGCAGTTGGAGTTTTCTTCACTTCTTAAGTATGTTTGGTTTGTTATCTCACATGCATTCTGTTTCCATTAATAAGTGAGAGGTGAACAACAGCAGCAGGAAACAGAATTAAGATTAATACACTGAGGTAGCTTACTATTGAGTCATTCATCCAATCAGAGAACACGTGACCATGTGATATGTGTTTCCAATCAAAATTACTTAATATATAGTGAACTCCTGGTGAATGAGATACAGATGAAGGATTTTAAGTCAAAATTATACAGCAAGTAATTTAAAATAGTTCAGATGAAAAATTGAAATGGTTCACAAACAATTCCACAGAAAATTGAATCGCTTTAGCACATGCCTTATTATGCTTCACAAGCTTCATATAGTTCATTGTGGGACACTTTCCATAAGAGAAAACATGTGTGTGAGAGTTGCAATGGGTTGGACAGATACAAAAGTCTATTAGCATGCTTTAGTATTCCACGAAAGGTAGGAACCTGCTCATTCTTTTTACAGGTGATCTCACACTGATGCCAGTAAGACTATAACATTACAGTTCAGTGCTATATATTTTGCATGTGCTGCAATTTAATATATTTTCCACTGTAATTAATATTGGCATGGAACTAGCAATACTGCTGATTGCTTACACTTGCTCTTTTGCTCCCTCTCCTTATGCTGTTTCAGTAATGTCTGAGTAATGTTTCAGGCACAAAACATATCACACTCCAGCCTTACTTTTCCACTGTTGTGACACTTGCATCAGAGACATGTACACTTGTGGCTACATCATACGAAGTCTGACAAATGTTAAAACTTAGAGGTCAAATTTTATGCATATTATGATTATTAATGCAGATATTCCTAAATATTTAACATCATTACAATTATTTGGAAATTCCTTTCTTATCCCCAGAATAAGAGAAAGAGAAGTACATTGCTTGCCAAAGTGCTGCTCTTCAATACATCTTTGGACTACATAATTACTCTTGTTAACTTATATACAAGGTAAAATCTTGGTCCCCTTGAAGTCTAGGGCAAAATTTCCATTAATTTCAGCGGGGTTAGGATTTTGCCTAGGGATATCACGATTTGATCTTGGAAAAGCAGAACTGGAAAAACAAGAAAGAAAGAAACAAAGCATTTCCTGCAAGAATCCCGCATGTTATAGAAAGAACAAGAAGTTATCAATGTTCTTCAGTTTCTGCTTCTTGATCTAGTATCCTAATTGATGTTCCATTCCAGTCTATGCACACAGCTACTCATGAACTAAAGCAACAGAGCAAAACAGAGGAGGGTTAAGCAGGGACGCTGTACAGCCACATTTGAAAAGCATGTTAAATCGCCAGGATCAGTTCTTTCTTCATCTCACCTGGCCCAGTCCACCCGCTCGTGGGCTTCGGGAGAGGACAGTCAAGTGGTCGTTCTGCACAAGTTCTGTGTTCTCAAGCTACAGCCTTTGGCACTGACTCTGTAAAGCCCCAACATTCCTTAACAACTGTCAAAGCAGGAACAAGAGCCCATGGGGCTCCTGCCTCGCCCAGTAGTGCCAAAAGCAGCAGCATTCATGTACCCCTCTTCCTACACTGCTAGTGGCACAAAGACTGCATTTCTCCACAGTTTCCTCTTCTTTGCTAGATTTTAACAGTATAAATTTACCATATTCTCTGTGAGTCTTGCCTACAGTACACACATCCTACTCACACAGTAAAAAAAGTGGTGTGCACGGAACTGATATAATTATAATAAAGAGGGGATGTTCAGTCACCATAAAAAGGCAGTGGGAGCTTCACTATCAGATAGTTTATTCCAAAGGCAAAAGAATCTGGGAGATAGTTTCAGATTCTTTTCTTCAAAATCAGATCTTCAGCACTGGAAAAAGAAAAAGGAGACTGGAAGCAGGAAGCCTTTTACTCCCAAAGCAGCACAGTTTGAAACTTGGTATAAACACAGTAGTAAGGAGGAACAATTCTTAAATGACTAGGAATGAAAGTAATTGGTGAAATAACCTGAAGAAATGTTGGCAGTATCCTGTGCAGACCAGTAACTGGTGTCATAAACTTAAACCATTTCCTTTAACATAACCTGACTTGTTGATCAGCTCTGAGGCCATGGCAACTAAAGAAAAACAGTGGCCGAATCAGACTGAAAAGGTCAAAATACTGCTGAATATCATGACATTCTCAGTCTAACAATAGCCAAAGTTCTTCTTCAATCCAACCACAATATGTAAGAAAAAACATATAAAAGGAATGTATTGCCCATGTACCTATCATCACAAATGTTCATATTTTACACATGCATGTATATGAAACCAGTATGTTACAAGTACAGTCAGTTCTCCAGATGCTAATCTCATAATTTGTTTCAACATAAAACTGTAGAGAAGGACTAAGTAAATTCTGCGTATTTTTGGAAATCATATAAGGTCTTTCAAGCACATTTCTTGAGGAATTGATCAGATTCCTTTAAGCTCCAAATTAATTTTGAGATCATTATTATATCTCAAAGACCAGCACACCATTACAAGCTGCTACCACTTAGAATACCTTAACTATCCTGAGATTTTTACAAACTCAGCAGGGAATTTCTCATTTCTGTTTTTAACAATTTCTATGTCCTTCTTCCCTTTTTCACCTCTTCCAAATTCCTAAAGATTTTTTTGCATTACTGAGTCAATATGATTGCTACCAACTTACATATTTATTCTGTCAGGAAATTCAGTTTTATATTTTAGAATATCCACGTGGTAGAATGTAGCACTAATTGGGGTACAAAGTATCACTTCATAATTTTTGATTCATTCCTGTAATCTTGTAGAATTTTTTATAGCATAATTTTAATAAACAAAACAAAGATAGTTTTTTCTTCTTAAAGTAGAAAAGGAAGTTCATTACAATAAGAAAATATCAGTATTCCTAAATAACTATTCTCTTTCCTCATTTCACTGAACTGAACTCCTTTTGCCTCCTTCTTGGTTTTCTTGTAGCTCCACTATACTCACACTCACACCTGACTTTTCTCTATACAGGGGTATTTTATAGAGAATGAATATTCAGCAACACCTTAGACCCAGATGACTTGCTGGTTTCAGCAGGTCCCTGGTCATGGTCTTGACTCTGAGAGGTCTGTTAAGCAGCTGAGCCCTCTAGGTAATCAGAAGGGTACATCTTTGGGTCTCGGGAGGGCTGACTTCTGAACCAAGAAGTCCAAAACATCTAATTATTTGTTGTTTCTCACTCTCACCTGCCACTTACATGAAGGAAGGTAAACTTGATTACTGCAAATAAAGAGCTGTGGTTTTCTTCTGTTGCTGTGTAATCAGCTGGCCTGACTGTATGGCCACACTTCTGCTGGTGCCCCAACACTCCAGCAGAAAAATGAATGGGCAAATGAGAGGTGGGGGTTTGTCGTGAGAATGGGGTAATGGTAATTTAAAGTCGTCAGTCTGTTCCACTCTTCTTTTATGTTCCATTCCTTTGAAATCAGAAAGGGCCTGGAAATAATTGCTTCTCAAATGATTGAATGTTGAAGTAGGACTTCTAATGTAGATGCTTGCATGACTTCAAAAACTGTTCCTTTCAAAATGAAACAAAAAATTTATATTTAAAAAATTGTTTTATAGTCTGATGGGGTTATCTAAGAAACAGAATATCTACAGACTCAGAGAACTAGTTTCCTGGTGGCCAGAAAACAAACATTTCCTTTGCTTCACATAAGCTAAATGCTCTTTTTCATTATTCTTCAAACCGGTGGTTCTGGAGGTTCCTTCCAGCGACCACATGCTATAAAATAAATTCCTCATCCTTATAATGCCTATGGCCTTTTAATAAAGTTTGTCTGCTTTCAGGACTACAGAGCTGCCTAGAGTTGCAGGTCCTCATTTTTCAAATATCTTTGAAAGTCACTGTCACCTCTGCCAAATACAATCAATTTGAAATTTAAAAGCAAAGTTTGATATTAAAAATCCAGACACATTCAGTCATACTTCTCTGAATATTAAACAATTATCACTCACTGGCACTTGGGCAATTTCCCTTATTTTTTTAAAAACAGACTTGCATTTTCTTTTTTTCAAGCTCTTAATTACTTTATTGGTTTCACCTGTTACTTTCAACCTATGTAATGTCTCAGCACTAAGAATAATTTCTACAGTACTCCATTTTGTTCCAGATAAAAACTTAGCATGTGCTCATTTTTACTGTTTACTTGTAAGGCAACCTCAATTTTTGGTTTCTGACTGCCATGACAGTTGTACTCTCTATCCACAGTTTAATTTAAAATTACTTTAAAATCTCAATTTGAAGAACTCTCCTATACTCTTCTTATGTAATTTCTGAATCAATATGATGTGCTTTTTTGCCATAACTCTCTTCTAAAGTGCTTTTGACTGGTTTTGCTTTCTTTTGACTCGAACTTCTTCTTTTTAAGACAATATACCAGTTTACCTTTCATGTTTCATTTAAAAACCAAAAAGTTATCAATTAAAACGAAAATCATCATCCCATGTTGTAGTTATGTATCCTTCCAAAGGCAAAGGAAATGACTTGCAAGTATTTGGCATCGTTTCCAACTGCATAAACAAAGAAGATATATGTTTCCTTCCTTGTTCCACCTTACACCTTGTTCTGTTGTACAAGCTCATGGCCCTGAGACCCCTGATGTCCTTCAGGCCATTCTGCTGGTACATATTCTAAAACGCTGACATTTATTATGATAAAACTTTGACATTTATTCCCCTCTTATTTATTGCATTTCAGAATGAATCTGTGTCTGGCACCACATCATAATAAAAAATAAAGGCTAACATGTCACATGAATCTATAAAGTAAAGAATTATTTTAGAATAGAGAAATAAAACAGTTTTCTTTACTCCTTTTAATACAAGACTGCTAGGAGGGTTAATGGGAGCAGTTAATGAAATTTGCAGGCCACAAGCTTAATATAAGTTACAGGAATTCCTTTTTTCTTCTATTGATTTTTGGCCTGAAATTCATCTTTGGAAATAGCTGTCACTAGACATCAGTGAAGCTATAAATTCAGCTCATTTTAAAGGACTGTCCATTTCTGTGACCGTTCAGTATTTCTTCAGAAGGGTTTTTAAACAGGGATTTATTTTAATTTTCCTTGCTCCTTATGGTCACAGAAAATCAAGAGAAGGCAGAACCTCAGAATGTGTTTCATTTACCCTTTGTCCCAAGGAGGCTCAGCTATAAGAAAGAATTGTACCTGAGAGATGTTTGTCAAAGTTGTGCTTAAAAGCCTGTGTAGTACCAGTTTGGACACCTCTAATGGACAGATTATTCCTTAGTAGTTTATTAATTTCTTGTAAACTGTCTCAAAGATCTGGTGCTCCACTGAAATGTTGCCCAAAGTTGACTGAATTTATCAGCTCCATCAATTATAGTTGTTCTATCTTTAAACATAGAAAGAAATATACTAAGAATCACATAAATACATGCTCTCTTTTAAAAATTAATAAAAACCTTTTTTGGATAATGAAACCAGCATTTATATGTCTCTGTACCAGTGGAGAACCCTGCCTAGAGCCTTGTCCAATCTCTTCTTTGCTGCCTATTTGATAGATCAAGAGTGAGCCATGGAAGCTGTATCCGTAGCTGTTGCAGGCATGCCTAAGAAGGTTCCCAGGTGCTGGAATACAATTGCCTCCTCTGGAAACAGGCAGAAGGGTCCCTGGCACGATTATGTGGTCCAGGATAACTGGCAGTCTCAAACAGGTCCCACCTGTGGGTCAAGGACCTTCCAGGGGCAGCTCCCCAGTAGGCAGGTTGCATGTAACTGCCCTTAAAATCGTTCGCCACTATTGGTAGATACCAGCAGCTCTGAGATGCTTGGCCTCGAGGCCAGGAAGGTTCCCAGCCATCTCTGTGTTATTAGTACCCATGCAGACAGAGTCTCACACTGGTCACTTGATAATAACTATTCTCAAGAGTTTTGAGGTTTATGTTGTTCTATTACAGAAACATTTTTAAATAGAAGTTCATGATAAAAAGGGTGTAATATTAGTGTTTGTTATACTAAAATAACAACAGTCAAATTAGCTGGTTTCAGAAATGTGAATCTGCTTCTGCATGCTAACTGAAACCACACTTTTTTCTAACAGATCACATGCCGATAGGTTCCCAAGTGCTTTGCTGAACTGCCCAAAACTTCAAAAAGAATCTTGGTCTTACCGAAAGCCAGTTGAAGCAAGGAATTTTTTAAAATTCCCTCATTGCTTGCTAATATTGTCTATCCTACAACAGCCTTACTATTGCACCCAAAATGTTTGAAAAGACGATACAAGAATTGGTCTTCAGAAATTTTGAAAAAAAATACCTTTACTGTATATATTTTTATAAGTTGTGTGCTACATACACGATGCATGATTTTCTGACATAAAGCCCTGGAAGGGCAAATCTCTTATACAGAACAAGAGCTTTGTACCACACACTGCTTGTTTCCCATGTGAAATTATATTGAACAAACAGAGATAAACACCATACCCACACAACAATAATATACTATGTCTCCAATGTTGCCCATTCTTTTATATAGCTTCATGTTATGTCAAAGAATACTCCCATCCTCTTAAATATGTGAAGCTCAATGTCATCCTCACAGGTGAAAGGAGACATTGAGCAAAATGAAAACATTGGAAATCCAGATGTTTGAGTTAATTCTCCTCTTCCTTTCTTGCCTTTTCTGTATTCATATTTTAATAGTGACGACGAAAAATATGTTAAATTTCTTTTTTTGTCACTGTATAACTATATCAAGAATCCTTGATCCTGCTACTCAAGGAAGCTAACATAAACCTTAAAACCAACTGGCTTTTCCTTTCCTAAGAGCAACAATGAAGTATGTTTCTTCCTAGCATTTGTAATTAATAACTATTGTTCCATGCATTTGGAATAGCTCAGTGGATTGCTTTCTTACATATAGTAACTACTTATTTTGGGTTTGCCTCACATCGTAATATACTGACAGCAATTGCTCTGTCTAAGGGTCATATACAACTCGTGATTCAGTCATGGAAAGCTACATCAAAACATTCAATGTATCTGCTACTGGAAGAAAGCAATTATACCCCAAGTCCAAAAAATCGTCTTGACAGTGTACTAAAGATGGCAGTGAGTAATGTAGTTTTGATATATGAAAGCTCACAGAAATTTTAATTTTAAAGAAACAGGACCATAAATATTTTAGCAGGAGTTTTCAAAACATGTAGGCACAACACATAAAACATCACTAAATATCCAAAACAAGCTATGTTAAGTATAAAATACTTTCTTTGGTCTCTTTCTGGGTCAAATGGCAGTGAATGCTCAGGACAATGAAGATCACGTTCCTCTGCACTTCTGCTGCCGATTTGGACACCATGAAATTGTAAAGTTCCTACTGCAGAGCAGCTTTGAAGTTCAGCCCCATGTGGTGAACATCTATGGAGACACACCTTTACACCTGTGAGTCACGTGGAGGGGCTGTTTTACATGGTTTGGGCCTCCTTAGAAAGCTGGTGTCGTTAACAACTCTTTACTGACTTCATCTTCAGTGCGTGTTACAGTGGCAAGTTTGAAGTTGTCAAGGAAATAATTCAGCTCTCAGGAACAGAAAGTCTCACTAAGGAAAATATATTCAGTGAAACGGCTTTCCACAGGTGAGATGTTTAAGGCACCATTATCAATGAAATTCCACTTACACATGCACGCAATAAAACACCCCAAATTATCAATGTCTCGCCAACAGCCAGATGAGGAAAAAAGCTAGCAGTGAGCCCGACACAGATGTTAAGCTTGCAACTTGAGATACAGTAGAGGACATGAAGAGGTAGAACCAGACAGTGAATGGGGAGAGAGCAAGCGAGAGAGCAGGGGGTGGGAAAGGCCTCAGGTTCATCAGCATTTGGGTGAATAACAGTTTCTCTTTCTGCCCAGGAAAGCTGAGCTTAGGGATCCTGTTCTGCCTAGGAACCTGCTGGAGTCTAGATATTCTAAATCAGAAATACCTCAGAACACAGTTTGGTCATGATGCTATAAGCTTGTAAAGTGTTATTTAAGAGGCACCGTGAAAAATAAACTGTATTAATTTTGCATAATTGTGCAAAATTAATTTACACAACAGTAGTTAGAGTGTTTCTGAAAGAACAGAAATTAGCATGTTTTGGTAGATTAATCATGCCTTTGCACATTTCTAAAGTTCTTTTATTCCATTACTACATTCTAACTTCTGTGTAATTACTTCCAAATTTTTGGCTACCCAAAGTACTTGTCCTTTTATGGACTATAGCATTCACTTTCCCTTTATTTTTGCAGTGCTTGCACCTATGGAAAGAACATAGAACTTGTAAAATTTCTTCTTGACCAGAACATTGTAAGCATCAATCACCAGGGAAGGGATGGACACACAGGTAACATCATCATCCTTACTGTGTGTAAGTGCATATACCAGCACCAAAAAATTTGGAAGCCATACATACTCAGGATTTGCAGGGTCATTCCCATGGCAATCTGAAGACCAACATCCAACTACCTTTCAGACAGACCCCTGCTTCTTTGAAATGTGTTTACAGGCAGGCATAGGAGTGATGAGCTCAGTGAGGATGTGTCAAGCTCGTTAGCTTGCATGAGAGTAACAAAACCTGATGTAAGCTGATTCTCCCATACTTAGGCTTCTAATTAGTTTTAAGACTTGGGCCCAAATATTATTCAATTAGGGACCAGGCACATAGGATACAGCCTCTGCAGGGCTGCACACCTCCATGTCTCTACTACAGGCAACAAACAAAAGAGCCTTCTTTGTTTCTACTTGCTTTTGCTCGCATACAAAGGTGTTAAATGTGATTTGAAGGTGATAGAGTAAATGCTGACATGTTGTGTAGCAGGCAATAGATTGGTTCTTGCAGCATAAATATTTTATTTTCACCTATTGCCTCGGGTATTTTTTTTTATAATATATTCCTTAATCTAGGAAATCAATTTGCTGCAAGTCCTATTATGATGTTCTGACAGTTGTGCTTACCGTGCTTCTCTGATGTTCTAGGATTACACTGTGCTTGCTACCATGGTCATATTCGACTTGTACAGTTTTTACTGGACAATGGAGCCGATATGAATCTTGTAGCTTGTGATCCCAGCAGATCCAGTGGAGAAAAGGATGAGCAGACCTGTTTGATGTGGGCTTACGAGAAAGGTATTTCAATTTTCTAGTTTCTGCTACAAAATCCATAGGAACAGTAGAGGAAGGAGAGAACAGCACAGGGAGGAGAGAACACTACAAAAATAACCCCCTCAGGCCCTGTAGACTAAGAGCTCTCACCATCTGCTTTCCAGTTCCTGGCACGAAGGGTTATAAAAACCAGCCCTTTTATTTATCTTCTCAGATACTCTGTTAAACATCAGCTTAATTCATCACAAACTCAAGGATGGGAGTATTTACATGCTGCTAAAATACAAAACATACAGCCTGTTCAGAAAAGGCTATTTCTCCCTCTGGTATGTGCATGAGTTATAATTTTATTACTGAAGGAGGCATTACAAGGAGCGATGAATCAGTCAGTAATCTTAAATTCTTGCAAGTACAGATCAAAGCGAGGCATTTTCCATGGCTCCTGTTTACTGTCCTACGTGTACAGCAGTGCGACAGTTTTCTATCCTGTTTCTGACTCCATGACTTCTGGGATATTCCCCTCTCCTCCAAAAGCATTGCAGCACCATTTATTATGAGAATGTAATATAGCAAAATAATATAGCCGTAATATAGCAAAACTACAGATTTCAAAGGCTTTTCAAAAACCTGATATTGGCAAAATACTCTGTATGAAGTTACTGAGGGAAAACTCACATTTAAAAGGTTTAGAAAATAATTTTGAACACGGCCAAGCAGACCTTTGTGCATCAAACATCTGAGTTAGCATGTTGCACACACACCGCTCTCTTCTGGTTCCTTGCAAGGCAGAACGGTGAGTACAGCAGCTGCCTACAGCAACATAGTGCACAAATTTTGTCTGGTTTAGGTCACCAAAACTGACATCCTTTCAGGCTCTGGTTTTCCTTGTAAGGCTTATTGAAGACTATTGTTATCTTCCATTTTAGGATTTCTGTAGCAGGGTTTCTTCTATTGCCTTATATCACATTTTAGTATTAGGGGTGGACTCACGAGAATAACATGCTTGGTTTTATTGATAGGTATTTCCCTACATTTCTGTAGTATGTTTCAGGTCAGAGCCACTGTATCATTATTTATGTGTTTTATAGGCACACTGTACCTTTTTTTAAAAAAAAACCTTCTGGTTTTGTATAAATCAACTAAAAAAAAAAAAAAAAGTCTGTTGAGTTTACCTGCAAATCCTTATATTTCCTCTTTCTTTCTTTCTTAGGTCACGATGCCATTGTGACCCTTCTGAAGCACTATAAGAGGCCTCAGGATGAATCGCCCTGTAATGAATACTCACAGCCTGGAGGAGGTATAGTCTGAGAAATCACTTTATTCTCTAACTGAAGGGACTGATCCAAAGACAGCTGAAGTCTCTGGAAATGTTCCACGGAAGTCAGGGAGCCTTGGGTCAGTTCTGTCTGGCACAAAGACAATTAGTGTCATGAGAATCGCCATTTTCCAGGTACCCTCTATTTATGTCAAAACTCTTCCTTTATCTTAAAATAGAGTTGTCACTTCATATTACTCACTGGAAAGAAAAGCTAAAAGCTGTGAGGTGAAGATCAATCCCTAGCAATCATTACTCATAGCTTTTCACATCCTTAATACCTTGTTTAGCTATTCTTTTTGTGTTGTTTAGCTCTGATGTGTATTTTCACCCATTTATTATTCATTCTTTAAGCCATCATTGTCTCATTAATTTATCAGTACAGATGCTTATATTGTCTTTGAATTCCATAAAATTCATTCTGGTTTTCTATTTCAGATGGTTCTTATGTGTCAATTCCATCCCCACTAGGAAGGATTAAAAGCATGACTAAAGGTATTTTCAGTGGCAAGAGAAAACTTGAACTTCTATGGTCTTTTTATCCAAGGTGTTTGTCAGCATAAACTTACTATGTTGGATTCATTATTCCTGGAATTTTTGTTGTTCAGAAATATAATGATGTGCATGAGCAGCAGCTATATTTCCCTAGGATAATTTTAGGAAACAATATACTTAGCTTTGTTGCTCAGCATCATTTCAATTCCTGTATTTATCTTATTTTCATTTACCTTAAAAAATACATTTCTTTTTATTTCCTTGGAGAAAAGGATGTGATTGGGAATTAGTACTAAGGAAATACAAGCATATCCATGAATGTAAACAAATATAATATTGAATTTCACTGTAAAATGCCTGGATTTTCGTTACTAGAAAAATTCTGTCCAAAAATAATTTGTGTTAATCTGAAACACATATAGTTAAAACATTCAGGTGAAGATTTGTACTTTAATATATTTCATTTTTTGTGGTGCTTTCAATTTTCCACTTCAAATATTCACTATGGATATAATCAAAGTCTTACATCCTTTACATAGCAGCATTTAAATGTTCCATTTAGAAATATTCTGATGAACTTTATAGTAATAAACCAAAAATATCAACAAGGTAGAGATGTTTGCTAACTAAATTAAGTTGCAGAATTTAGATTCCACATGTCAGTAAAGAGTCAGTCAGGTCTGGAATACCATCCCCTGACTTAGTAATGAGTACTAGGTATACAGGAAAAAAGGGACTAATTCTCCCTGTAAAGAATTTTATGCAACCATCACATGATACGGGTGGAATAAGCTTATGGGACAGTGTTCATCGGTGATGGGATTTTAAAGCCAAGACAGCCCAAGGCAGCTGTAGCATTGCGAGTATTTATCTCTTACTGGGGCTGCTGAAAGAAAAGGCAAGAGGATTACCAGTTAACCAATTCACAGAAGGAAAATCAGCTTTTACCGTGCAACGGTTTTGTGAAGTTGAATGCTTACATTCTGGCCTTCCCCATGACCCCACATTTTACAAACAGGATAAGTCTTCTCTTTTGCAGAAAAGGCAGATGTTCTTCTCCTCCGTGCTGGTTTGCCGTCACATTTCCATCTTCAGCTCTCTGAAATAGAATTCCATGAGATTATCGGCTCAGGTACCAGAATAAGAATGCAACCATTTTAAATTTCTGATGTTCATGATAAATATCTTTGTACTTATTTATTTTAAACCATTTTAGGGTCTTTTGGAAAAGTATATAAGGGGCGATGCAGGAACAAAATTGTTGCAATCAAACGGTAAGTTTATCAGACTTTTCCATCTTGTTTGGTTAATGACCTAGATTGAAGTATTAAACCCCCCCATATTTTATTATATTTTTGCCTTATTGTTGTCTCCTGTGCAAATTCTAAGCTATCGAGCCAACACCTACTGCTCCAAATCTGATGTGGACATGTTCTGCCGTGAAGTTTCCATTCTCTGCCGACTGAATCACCCCTGTGTCATCCAGTTTGTGGGAGCTTGCTTAGATGACCCAAGCCAGTTTGCTATAGTCACTCAGTATATTTCTGGAGGATCGCTCTTCTCCCTGCTTCATGAACAGAAGAGGTATTCTGCTCCTTCTCTGCTCGGGCTTGGGGTACATAATGTGGAAGTCTAGTAAATCCATGCTGATGCAAATGTTACTCATTTCAGTATAAAACAGTAGAGAAAGGAACACACTAGAAAAATATTAGCTTTGATTCAGATTATTGTGTGTACAAGGCCAATTAAGAAGTAATCACAAGATAGTTATTGTCATTATTTTATATTACATATGTTCATATATCAATTATATAACATTATTTTGCATTTAAAACAAGGATAAATGTTTCATGATTTACAGAGAAGAATAATTTACAGATAGTTTTTGTCTGTTTATTAACTTTGAGTATTTTTTTTTTTTTCAAAATACAGAACTCTTGATCTGCAGTCTAAATTAATCATTGCTGTAGATGTTGCCAAAGGCATGGAGTACCTCCACAATCTCACGCAACCAATCATACATCGTGATTTGAACAGGTAAGATTCTTTCTTTTTCCCCAAAATTCAGGGAGTACAAAGCCTCAAAGGCACGGCAGTGGTCTGCAGTCTCACCTGTTCTGTCAGACTCTCGCAAGGGCGCGGAATCTCGTTAACACTGATGGAGGAAGGTCTGCTTGAATCAGCTGGATGGGGGGATCGCAGCACAATGCTTCCACATTCACTGGAGGTTTTAATACATTTTGGTCGAATGTCAACAGGTAGCAGTCAGCTTCATGCTCATAATAATTTAACTGACAGATATCTTATCTGGAATTTTCAAAATATTTATACCCTATTTGCATACATTAGTCCGGTGGGATAGCCTTTTTACAATCTATGCTATCTAGTCTATTTGCCCAGTATAATTTTTTTAATCCAAAACATTAATTCATTTCACCTACTTTTGTTCCTCTAAGAATTAAATGCCTGATGTAAGCTAGTCTCTAGTCCTCCTAAAATTTTACACAAATTGCTACAAGTCCTATTTGCTGAACTGTCATTGTCATTGAAGGGTGCAACTGCTAAAAAACAGCATTTTCTCACATTAATGTTCAATGTTTCTTAGAAGCAGGAAACATCTTCTCTACTGAGCAGAATTTTTTGTGTGTCATATCTACATCAGAAATCACTCAGACTAGCCATTCTGCACTTACTTCTGCTTTGGAAGTGGACTAACCAAAATTATCTATAGTTATATTTAAAGAAAAACAACTAGACAAAGAAAGTTAGTGCTGAATAGCTGTTGCACTTTTCAGTCGCAGTAGTTTGTGTGGAAACAGCTCCTTCATATGTACAAGCACTGTGGCAAGAAAGCTTCCACAGAAAAGATTTTTTTAAAAATATTTTTAAAGTGAGTTACAAAATGGGTTTTCTTCAGTGTCAGATACAGACCTCTTCATTTTCCAGTAGCTTAACTAGTTGTTTTTTTTAAAAAAAATATACAGAAATGTTCATTTTTTTTTTGTATCTCAAGTGACTGGTCCTATAAAGTTGTGGTAATACAATAAATAACATTTTCCTGCATCTTGTTATAAATTTTCATTTCCTTGTGACACTGATAGCTACAGTGAAATATTCCTTGTGAAAGACACTCATTCTTTTGGAAAAAGGAGATGAGTTTTTCCCTTTGCTGAGCAAAGAAGCAAAATGAGTGTGAGACTATGACCAGTTCAGGGTTCAGGGTATGAAATTCTGAAAAGAATAGGAGGCAGCAGCAATTTTCTGGACATTGTTGTTGGCATCCCCAAGAGAACAGCATGGCTTGCACACAGGAAAGATTCTGTTTGCTTGCTCCGAGCGTACCTGCAGTGACAGGTCTCCAAAGGGCACCTGTGAAGGGAGGGACCCCACGGGTAGTATTTATCCTTTATAAACGGGAGGTTTCTTGGCATTTGAAGCATCACAGAGTGTGTGCGTGTGTAGCACCAGTCACAGGGGTGCAAGCTGAAGCCCACCAAGCTCAGTGTCCTGCCTCTGACAGTGGCCCATGGTGACACATTTGAGAGCCAGGCATGTATACAATGATAATGTCTCTAACTCTCTCTCAGTGCCCAAGAACTTTGGGTTCAAAAGGGTATTTTCAAAAATGAGTGCCTGCTCCTGAAGTCATTTTTTAAATGAAAGAATAACTCTATTTGTGGTTACAAAAGAAAAAATATCCTTGCAGACGGAAGAAGGAAATCAGATCACTAACGCAAAAGAAACTGCACATTTCTTTATTTTAGTCTGAAAAGTGCAGTCTAAAATTGATATCACTTCAAGCCAATCTTCTGGGATTTATGTGCCCTAGGGTAGCACTATTGGCACAAATTGTGCTTTATACTCTGACCACAAATTTTAGCACACTTTGCTATATTTGTCTACTCCAAAGTTTGAGTGCATCCATCTGCTCATGTTAAAACTGCTACAAACACATAAAAATGGCCACTGTTAACCATTGCCAATTGCGTATCAAATGACTTTATTTAAATGAGCAGATATGGTGTTTCCGTATGATATGGTAAAAGCATCTCTTGACTAAGAGCTAAAATCTAGTGCACGACTGTGTGCTCATTCCATTTGTTAGGTGGCAACTGAGTAGAAACACTCAATCCTTTGTGTATGCAGAGAAAAATCTGTTCTTGCTGTTCTAGCTATGAAAATAGTCTCATGATGTGCAGATTTCAGTGAAAAGTGGGGAGATACCTAACTTTATTGAATTGTGAGATTTTAGACAAAAATGTTCCTTCTGCTAAAGACAAAACATGATTCTTAGTTCTGCTAGCCTTTGAATGCAAAGGCACATCATTCGAGCTGGGGATGGCTGGGCTCCCTCTCACACAGTGTAGCTGTGCACTGCTTTGAACAAACCACTTTCTGCCTTTGACTGTCATCTCTTCTGCCTTTACAAGGCATGCCTCGTAAATCCTGAGTATTGAGATGGACATTCACCTCTTCAATTTTGGCCCAAGTCAGGATGGCAAAGTTTCTAACTAGGTACTTTCACCCTTTTGGCATATTGATCTTAACCCATCTTGTATGACAAGGCCTGGGTTAAGAGCAAAGAGAAACTATTGGTATTACAGACTTTCAGTATATTAAATTGTGAGGAAAGGCTTGGCACAAGACAGAGCTTTTCTACATTAACCTTTCTTTCTCAAAAAAAAAAAAAAAAAAAAAAAAAAAAGCTGTTGATAGGACCAACATGGCTCTACCACTCCTAGAGGCTTTTGCAAATATTACGGAAAAAAGCTGTTTAGGTCAGATACTAGTAAGTATCCATTTTTTAAAGTATAAGGTGGATTGACTGAGATTTGCTGTGCAGAAAACAACCTGCATATCGACCTACAAAAAAGACAGGCTGGAAGAAGGTCTTCTTACTACCCCATTTTTCTTTTTCCATGGCCGTACTTGCCTCGTTTCTCCAGTGCGTACTATCCATGCCCGCCACCTCTTGTCCTCCTGCTTACAGTCAAGTCTCTCTTCTCCTCACTCCATGGGCTCTGATTCCATTCATCCTCCACTTTCTCACTGAGTCTCCTTCATAAACCCTTCACAGGCCCCGTGTGGGCTACCCAACTGTGGAGCTCAGGGGGAGATGCTTTCTTCTGAAGCTGTAGCTCTTGCCCCAGTCATGGTGCAAGCCAAGATCCCCGTGTCTCAATGCTGCACTCTGTGCTACTGGTTTAGGACAGCAAAGATCCAGACCTTACGGTTCAGCTTTATGCCTCGTCACTACTGGCTGTTAGAAAAATAGTTCTGCAGCTGAAGGATTTTAAATAATGTTTTCCACAAAAGAAAAGCCAAACCAGTATCTCACTAGAGAGCCAAAAAGCATATCACTGCCTCACAGAACTTTTACCAGATCGTATTTGTGAGGGTCAAAAGATAATTTGCTCTAAGGACATCAGCGTGGTTGATGTGTGGTGCTGAGAGTAGCTGAACTTCTGAAACTTTTTAGTGTGAGAGCAGAAGTCATGTTTTCAGCGTGAGTCCCCGTCAGCCCACAGGCACAATTACTAGATGAAAATCTTTATGACAACTTAAGGGAAAGACCAAGAGTGAAATTCTGTGTTAAGTTTTGCCAGTGGCTTCACAGGAGCCTCAAAATTTTCACATAGCTTTGTGACTCTCTTTGTGAGTTCTGAAATCTAATGCAATGCACATAATGCATTAAATAAATCTGCAATATGGCTTGACAGAACAGAGAAGAAAATTAATCTTTCATGTCTCTACCATGGAAAAGGGGTTATTCTTCTATTTTGAGAATAATTGGGAGTTTTATTTTGCTTTCCAGTTCTGGAAAAAGAAGTTCTGACAGCTATCAGCAATGGTGGCATGTATCAGCTTATTACTACTTATACCATGGTGAGGGATTGTAGCCACAATGATTACAGCACTTTAATAAAAAAGAGACCATTTTAGTAGCAATTTAATTTAAGCCGTAACAGCTGAACATGGTTGGACCAAGCCTTTGAGCAACTAACCTTCATTTGATGCCTCTAACTATCTGCAAAAGTTTCTGAGAGCTGGCTTAGTGAGAAAGATGAAAGAGAGGATGGAAGCCTGGTGGTAATGGGGATGGTGTCTGCAATTCCTCTTTGTTATAAAGTCCCTTATGAAATCTTAAAATAGCAGTTGCCTTTCATTAAACCTACAGTGTGTTAAAGATGGAAGGATCTTTCCATGGCCCTGTTGTCTGGGAGAGGGACATGCACGGAACACACGTTGCCTGTCTCTTGCCCTGAGAGGGAGAAGCCCTTGCATCTGGCAGGCTCGCAGAACTCCTTGCTTTTGTAAGAACCAGGGTGATTACACACTGCTGATTCTTTTCTTGTTTTTTTTTTTTTTTCTATTCCACGGTTTCATGAAGAGAATGATTCTTGGTCTCACCATTTCAAACTGTGTGTGGCCTTAACAGAAGACAATTAATTTCCTATTCTGCTGAACTCACTATTAACCTTCTGTCAGATCAGATCAGATCAGACTGGATCAGATTTATCTTGCTGTATTTCTCAAAACAGAGGCTCAAGAGCTCCTTTCTCATCTGTAGTTTTCAAATTTGTAAGTGCCATTGAGGCAGTAATAGCGTCTGTGAGCTGTACCTTCCAAGCCTTATTTCTGTGGGTTGCATTCCTTACTTTAGAAAAGAAAAATTAGTAACAGTAGTGTTCACTGGTGGTACCAGACAGACAAGACCCTTCCAGAGACTATGTCCTGCTTCCAGACATGGCCATACTCTCTGCACCAAGATGGGCATTTCAGCATTGTTTTATCAGAAAGACTTATGCACATCATGCATAGAAGGGATCTATTCATTGATTTCTTGTCTTCTCCACAAAAGCTGCCAACCCAGGTCTTGACTATGCATATCATTAACTTGGCTTTATTCAAGGTCTATACAATCCTTGAGTAGACTGAAGTTGAAGCTAGGGGTTAAAGTCTTTTAGTCACATTGAGAAACAGTTATAATTTTTGTCCCTACTCAGAGAAGTCAAATTTGAACCAAGACCACAGAA